TGCTGTTTTCTAACTGGTTTACTATGCATGCCTCCTCCAACAGTCAATACATGTAACGCAAGACTCCGTTAGCTGGCACCTGGAACAACCATTTCTCGAGCACACCAGCTTGCCTTTCGCAGACAACTGCTTTGGTATCTCAGTGTTTAGTAGGTTCGTCACCTTCTTAGTATGTCGACATAACAGTGCAACGTGTAAACTTGACACATTAACCACCGCAACACAGAGCGTGATATGGAAAATGCCTAGTCTTTCTTGCAATTCACATCTGCCCTGTGAGCCAAGGGCACTCGTGGAAATGTGGCCGACTGGATAACATGTCAAGCTCACATGTTGTACTGTCGCGGTTCGACTCCCGCTGGGGGTATTGATAAGACCTATGCGAGGTCGAAACTGCAGTCCACCCCGGATGAGAACAACTTTTGGGAATGCAAGGCTCTATTTACATCATTGGGGGGGGACAGAATTCTACTACCATTACTTCATCACCTTAAACAAAATTGACATATGAATTGAATCTTACTGATAGTTGCACATACGCGTAGAGACGAACATGCAAATAGACCAAATACTGCATTTCATATTTCTTAAAATTAATTTGATTGAATTACACGTAGCATGTATGCACAAGCCATTCCTTCTCTGACACGGTTTTGGCATAGAATTGCCTTAAGTGTGATGCCAAGCTCTAAGTATGCCCCCTCAGAGACAACGAAGTTTCAACATGTTTTACCAAAATTTAAGAGGTCTGTCTTGAAGAATACGAGACAAACACTTGCTGAATAGATAGGCCCTCCCTTACTGACGTTATCTGCTGACGAAACTTGACATCACAAACGTTTACACGAAATGAAATTCAGTCCATAAAAGTGTCTAAGAATGAGGTGGCCGCTCATGTCAATTTGGTCGGCACCAAATGAGTCTATAAAAAAGAGGCAAGAACACAGTTTTTGTTATCTCCTTGTTCTAGAGCCAAATAACAGCAATCGAGTCGGCTTCCTAAGATCTCCCGCATTTTAGGGTTCCGTTTATGTATTGAGGCATGTGAAATTATTCTAAGATTGTGAACTTTAGGAACTTTACAATAAATCGCTTGTGCCCTACTCACTCACGAATTATGCCATGCTATTAATCATCCAGAGTTCTATTTTTTTGATACTCCTCTCGCATCGGCTCCCATGTTTAATGCATCTCGAGCTCATTTAGACGAGTCTGTTCTCTATATGCATTACAGACACATGCAGCTGCGTAAGTCTTCCTTCATTTTTCAGGCCATAAAAACTTGCACTCGGCCATCAGCCTCTTTTTAAGAATAGTCTCATGACCCAAATAAAAATCAGGCTTAAACATGCGTATACGTGATGAGGTAAAAAATAAACGTGTGAATTATCGCTTTTGAATTATCTTGTTTAGAACTTTCTTGAAAACTTGCCCGCTTCTAACCTTCTGGTGGCTATTGGTCGAATCGCTCTCTTCTTTCAAATGCTTACCGTCTTCCCGTTGCTTGTCTATATCATTCGTGTTCAAAGCATGCGAGCTCTGTTCGGTAAAATCTATCCAAGGTGAGTCTTTTCCTATCATTTTTCATTCCATTGATGTAATGAAGAGGGTGTGAAATTTGAAAAAGCAGTCTCTACGCCAACCTTGAAGACAATTGTTTACAAATTATTCTCTCGATAATTCTCACTTGTGATCCTCTCCTTTTGTCTACTTTCGGCCAAAATGCGATCTCGTATCTGTAGCTATATCCATCCCTTTATTTAGTGGCTGGTATACCATTCCACCAGTTCTGATAAATGAATTACTGCCTTCTTATTACCTTTCTCCCAAGCCCATTTTGAGATCTTTTGATATCCAGTTCTATATCGAATATCTGGTCCAAAACTCAAGAATCGAGTCTCATGGGTAAACCAATTGTGTGTGCTACATACTCTCCAGAGGCTACGCTGAATATAAGTTGCTTTCGCGGCGCAAAATGTGTCAAGCTGTCAGTGAGAGCTCATTATCCCACATGAATTCATTGCCTTGCTTTGTCAAGCTACATCATATTTTTCTTCTTTTGCCAGCTTTCTGCATTGTTTTGTGCTGCATGTGCTCCTGCTGGCAACCTGTATTCTCTTCGCAATGTTCGTCCCCAATATCGGTACGATCGTCAGGTACGCAAATCGCTCCTTTTATCTATCCAGTGCACTCATGCTTTTAGATAATGGCTAAATGTTTCAGTCCCTGCCATATTTTGAATATGAGATTTCCTTCTCTTTCTACCTCCAGAGATATTGCAATTAAGCGCAGCTTGGTTGAATAACTATCTGAAAAAATATAGTATCTTTCA